TCTATGTTACACGAAAAATGTCCGTCTGCCCACTGCACCCCTCTGACCAGCCTTACACACTAAATCTTTTTGTGGAGAAGAGGTGTCCCCGTTACCCGGAATCAGCCACAGTCTTGGGGGGGGGGGGGGGGGGGGGGGGTGTAGTGATACTTACTGCTTCCACTACTGCTGTTAGTCCAGTCCAGGGCTTCCAAAATCAATGTGTAGGCCCTCTGAGGAAGACAGGAAACACAGGAGCAATCGGTTAATCAGGCGGTGGAGATACGCAAGTTCACAGAGCTGCGCAGTGAAGAGGATCACTCAGGCCCGGAAGATTTACACCATTAAACTGATTACTCTGCCTCCCTGATTATTGGCACTGAGGCCACTGGATCCTGGGATGAGTCCAAGATCAAAGTAAAAGATCTTAGTAAACAGCTTCAATCACTGTCATATGCAGTAGGACTATATCTGTTGCAAAATTTCCATGTCAGACGCTCCCAGGTGAATTTTGCGTGCCTCAGATGACAGCTAATTCTACATAAATCGCTGTGTTGTTGCCGGGGGAAACATGTTGCTGTGTACGGTAAACCGTACATCTCCATGACACCTTTAAGACGCGTCTTATCAGAAACAAAAGATAAAAATCTTTATGAAGATATTAAACATTGCCAGACACAGTGACGTAACAGCGCTAAAACTGAAAACGACGTCTTAGATCCTTTGGAACAACTGAAAAGCAAAAAACTACATATTTTGGATTTTACTTCATTCCATCATTCCTTCCTTCATTTGCCATCATTGCCTCCCTCAATTCCAGGTCAATTTCAGCACATCACTCAGCCTAACCCACAATGGCAGTGCTTCATTCAGGAACCGCCAGGAACAGGAGTCCCAGACAGGAGTCTCAGACCGGAATCCCGAACAGACAGGATTCCCGGACAAGAGTCCCAGACAAGAATACCAAATAGGAGTGCCGAACAGGAATTCAAAATGAGAGTCCCAGACAGGAGTCCTTAACAGGAGTCCCGAACTGGAGTCCCAGACAGGAGTCCCGAACTGGAGTCCCAGACAGGAGTCCCGAACTGGAGTCCCAGACAGGAGTCCCGAACTGGAGTCACAGACAGGAGTCCCCTCCCAGCAGGCAACAGAGCAGGTGTTTGCCATGAAGGTAACTCCTGTTATTGTTTTGGGCCTCCAGGATTCCTATCTTCACACACCCCTGCTCACCTCCCCGCGCTCGGGTGCCAAGGAAAGTCGAAAGGTTTGATAACGCCTGATTTTTTGGCAGCGCGCACCACGACTATCGATTTTGGCACATTGTCGGGGGAGGAGATCTTTAAGGAAATGTCCCTGGAGAGTGAATTCTGAGAAACAAAAGCCATGGGCACAATTAAAAAACAATGTCAAAATGTTTTCTTCGCTGTCAGTCTGTTTGTCAGTTATATCGGAACGGGATTGAGAATCATTAATTAGCTCTCTGGCTAATGCAGCTGTGAGCATGTGCATGTGTCTTTGTGTGTGAGGAATGTGACCGTGTGTAGGTGTGTGAAAACAAATGATTTCACCAAATAATTTCACCGTTGGGCCCTTGAGCAAGGTGCTTCACCCTCAGGGACTGTCTGGTCCTGCTTTCTCAAAACAAAACAAAAAAAGCACATTGCTTTGTATAAAAGCATTTGCTAAATGAGTAAAAACATATGCATTCATGTGCTATGTTGTGAGTGCCATGATAGGTCAGGCCACTGGGGGCGCTCTTTATCTCCTGTCCTCTTAGAAACGCTTTGTCCCTCCTCAGGCCGCCGAGGCTCTCACCAGTATCAGGTGACGGGTAGAGGGGGGGGGGGTCGTGCTTTTGGTGTGTGTCGAGCTCTGCCCTGGGCAATTTCGGCCCACCTACTCGTCACATTTTACGCTGACCCCACTAGCGGTGGAATTCTCCAGAATACGCAGCGGAGGAGCCACATGTGACCGTGGCGAGGATCCTGCCTGATCCTGATCCTGATCCCAGGTCTCTGGTTAAAATTATCCAAGAGACCCAAATCACTCCCAACTGTAAAATACCAGGAATTGGGAATCCTTAGAGGGAAAACCTCCAACGTACCTATCTTTGCTTCTCCAGTACGATAAAGTTTTGGAAAAGATAAACAAATCCCAGCTGTCATTGCGTCTCCCCCTGCCGGCGTTAATGCCTCTCCTGCACATCTTCCCGGCCCCCACTTCCTGAGCTGGAAAGCAGCCCGGACACAACCCTGACTCCCGTGAGGACGGTGTGGTTTCCCCGCACCGGTAACTGTGGGAAAGCGCCGCAAATGAGAGCGAGCTCGTTGGGCAAGCCCGAACACAGCCGGCAGCGAGGGCCTGTGTCCGGAGAGGCAGCCCGCATGTCCCACACCTGGGGAGGGACGGCTGGCGCTCTCCCCCTCCCCCGGGTCGGCTCATGCCGCGTCTCACCGAGCGTTTCTTTATTCTTGCCTCTCAAACAGGCAATGTTAGGGCTGAGCTTGCGGCTTGATCCAATTAATCTCACCCCATAATTCACGATCTGGTTATCAGTGACGATGACCTTTCACCTGCCAGATTCACTTTTCCCAGGCTTCTGCTGAAGCCGTCAGTTGTTTGAACGTTTGCCAAACCAAGCCTGAGCATCTCTAACGGGGGCTAACAATGGCTTCTGCCGCTCCCAGTGAACTCTGGAGAATGCCCTCCCACCCCCCACCAGAACAGGAGACAGGCCATGTTTTTTAACATGTGCACTTTTGTCTTATAACCCCTAACGGGGTGCCCACAGTGAAACAGGCATTTTTACACGCATTCTTTCTGTCTTCATAAAATGCAAGCGAGACGTACAGTATTATTACAGCACAGCAGCACAGAAAGGCCCTTAAAGGCCCCTCCCCCAATGAGGCTCCATTCACCTGAATACCTGATCTCTAACAGGAAGGGCTGAGTGACCTTTGCCTTCAGAGGAACGGGAGGTACAGCCCCATTTGCCGCGAGGCGTCTGTGGAAAACTGGGAAGAGATTAGAGCAGCCAGCTCATACTTATGTCTGTCTCAGACTTCCCAAAGAGGCTGGGGGGTGGGGGGGGGCTGTCATGATAGCAGACCTCTGGACACTCATCTGCCTGCCCCCGGCGGACCACTAAGATGCCCCCATCTCAGTAAACCCCAGGAGTCTTGTGGCAAAGTGCGTAAAACTCTATTTATGATCACTTCACTCATCTCAGGCCCTGGGGGGGAAGTAGAATATCCCCCCCAAATTGATTTTGTTAACTAAAGATCTCAGACTGCCCACTTAAATCCAGAACATCTGTGTCGGCCAGAATGAACCCCAGCGTGTCAAGCTAGAGGTAGGATGTCCTTCCAGTCAAGTCTGCAGCAGCAACAAATTTGCTTTTTGAAACTCCACACAGAAAAACAATTAAGCTTGTTCCATAACAACCTCTTTCCTGTTTCAATTTGGGCTTAACTGCAAACATCCCAGGCTGTCACAAGGAACCAACATGTCACTGTCACTGCTTAAGGCCTGTTCCCTGACTGTCCATCACCCGCTCACTCCAGTTTAACAGAGGACACTGGAGAAGCACTGGTCTGTGCAGCTAACTGGGGAGACTGTGACCCTAACACACAACCTGGGCCTGAGTGGAGTAGGATCAGTTTGCCTCTGAGTCCATTTCTGCTGAGTCCACTGCCACTTCCTGTCACCCTGTCTGCTCAGGCATTATTGTTGGACAGCCTCATTATGCACCATAATCCTGGCCTCAGCCGGTCTGGGCTTGCCTTTGTTCCTGGTTAATGGTGCCCCAGTCTGGGTGGCCGCTTTCAAAAAATCTGGCAGCACAGAGCCAATACCTACCCCGAACCCCCCAGCCCCCCTCCCCAGCTCACACGTGCTGCTGGGCAACACCACAAGGGGGAGGGGGGCGGTTTATCCGTGCAGGAATTGGCATTGTAATGGACCCCTCACCTCGTAACATCTACCTGCCCCAAGAGACACAATAGGTGCTACGGGAGACCAGCTCAGGGAGAGAGGAATGCCTCAGGTCCGGTCAGGCGTGCTCCTTCACAAAGACCGTGCTTGAACAAGAAGGCTTTCTGCCTGGAGATCCCAGCAGGACTGAGAGGGTTGCTGTGACCTTTGATGAACCGATACCCAACCACACGCCTGCCTCAACAGTCAATCATCTTTCCTGCAGTGCAATGCGGGGGGGATACACTTTACCCAGAATCCTTTGGGTGATACCCAGGCCACAGTGGCATAAAGTTCCCAACCCTGAAACAGGAATAACTGCAAAGGTGTATTTGCATAACCTACAATGAGATCAAAACGTCTCATCAGGCAAAATCATTTACAAAGACCATTTGATGCTGATCACTAACATATTGGACTGAAGCATCACAAGTTTAATGACACAGCTAATGAGTGTACATACACCCAACCTCTACATGAGTATATATTTACATATATACATGTATAAATATCTCACATAAAAGCTCTAACGTCATTGCACTGTTGCATGTCTCACTAAACAGTGACCCAAGGTCTCACTGTCAGGACACTGCCAGTGTCTCCCAGCAACATTCCACTTTTCATCCAGGATGCCAACTAGCACCCAAAAACCCACTCAGAAACGTTCATTTCAGGTGTATTCTATCCTTCTGCTAGGTCATTACACAGCAAATAGGCTCTTATCGTATTATCCCATTTACTGACTGGTATCTCCAAATGCGTAAAGAACGAGGCGAGCCCAAGCGCCCGAATCTAATATGGCAGAGGAAAACTTTCACTGCTTCCTGGAAAGTGCTCTTCTGAACCGTCAAAATTAGTCCAGCTGCCGTCTCCCAGTGAGAGCGGCTGCTTTCGCTTTCGGAACGGCACACTTTTAGCGGCGGGCTTTGCGCTGAAATGTCTGCATGGGAAACGCATTAAAAGTTAAGTATGCGAGATGACAGCATCTGATTAACCTTGTCCTTTTGACGAACAACTCTTGGCGCAAATCTGCGGTGGTGATGGTGGCGGTGGTGGTGGGTAATTAAATAATTTTAAAACTAGTTACTAGGGATACATACAGTCTTTGAATAACATGACACCACTGCCAGGAATCTTGCTTTTCATCAGTTAATCCCTTCGATGGCTGCAATGGTAAATTAATTAATAATCCTGAACATAAATGCCTGTTTAAGTGCAGCCTTTCAATAAATATAATAGGGACCTTTAATTTAAACCACAATATTAGAAATTCATAAACCATGGGAACTTTTGCGGTTGAAAAGCGGGGGTAGGCGTATGTGGGGGTCTAAGTACGTATATAACATTACAAATGAGTTTGACACCGACATAAAGTTGTGACATGACAAATTCAATAGTCTATTTTTACTTCACGGCTGCGGCCGTGTGGTTAAGCTTAATGTAAGGACAGAACAAGGATTGGGGCCAGCTGCGAGTTCAGGGCTGTGTTTTGCTGACTTTTTTGCCGTCTAATCGGACAGAAAGTTATAGATTCAAAGTGCACGTTTGTGCGATTCTCGGCGGCACTGTATGTTAACTACAGCAAGCAGATAAGCCAGGTGTTTTATTGCCTCCATTACGGTCGTTTTGAAACAACTCCCTCAGTGTCTGATACCTTTGATAGGGAGCAAAAGAAAACATCCCCGAATACAATTTCACTGGCAAACGGATTGCCAGGCAGATCGGGGTCAAGCCTGCAGAAATATCGTAAAACATTAACCTCAGCCCTGCTCCAAAACCCAACCTCCCTTTAAAACATTGTTTGAAATCCTGCGTGTTTGTTACCGTCTGCACGCTTAAAATAAAGAGCATTTCAAGGCATTAACAGTGATGATCACTAAATATTCAACACTTTCTTAGGCAAGTACATAGTTTCCTTCGTGTAACGTTACCCGTCCTCGGCAGGTGAATTGTGTAAACTTCTCCAGATTGTTTTATGCACCCCCTTTAAAAACTTAGTGCTCGGCATTTAAGCTGCAGCATAAATACCCGTTTATTATTGCGGGCATACATACACCCTAACGCTTTATTCTTGCGAGATAAACTTCGCACGGCCCCAGCACAGAAAATTCAAAAAAGACCGTCAAGACTACTGTGTTGAAAACAAAGAAAAATATCCCATTTAATAAACTACCAATACTGCAAGGCTGGATAATGCATGGAGTTACAAACGGGATAAATCTAGATAGAATGTTCATAATGCGGTGCTGGGAGACACGGATCTGGCCGCTGGCCGCTGTGGCATTTGGCCGAGCCCGCCAGTTACTTGACCCTCATTCTCTGCCCGTTCCTCGGCTCTGAAATACTACACACCATCGCAAAGTCTGAGACAACACCAGCTCGTACTCGTCTGACAATATTAACAGTTACGAACCCGGGGAAAAAAATCATCAAGAAAATGGCATCTAAACAGCGAGGAATGAGAGTGGCTCAATCAAATGCTTTTGCTTATGTCGCACAAGTGTTCAAGAAGAAAAGAAAATATTTGCAGTATTATGTGACATTTGGCTACGGAGCTTTGTATGCCAAGGACGGGGATAAATGTATAATGGACATGCAAAACCCTACTTGTGATTGCAATGACTGGCGCGGATATAAAAATATACAGGCTATTATACGGTAAGGCAGCGATCGTGAAAGTGGTTCATGACTTGCTCCCCGGACTTCTGTAACAACTTCTTGCCAAAAGAGCGCAGAAACAGCTTGACAGCGACGTGGACATCAAGCTGAGAGGATCTAGCTTGCAAATTTGTTTAGCACATTTAACCACATGACATTGAAAAGCCGCTTCCAAACCCTCGGATGGTCAGATGCTTATGAACAACTCGGCATGAACCACCACGTGGACTCACATGTGTGTCTGTTAAAATTCCATTATCGTGTAAAACACACAGAAATTTCAACAGAGCTTCAAATGCGTGTGGACTATACGTAAGACATCCCACTTACCGGCCACGCAAAACTGAAAGGCAATACAATCCTAGATTTCTCTTTCCTCATTGTGTTCTTCAAAGAAAATGTATTCCCTCCGATGACAGGCGTAGATCCAGTACCGAAGCTGCAAGGCCCGGCCGTCACAACCCTGGACTGGTATTCCTTGAGGCACACTTTAAAGTACGTGTCACACTCGTCCCTGGTGCACCTCTGATCCGATGCACTCCTAACGCCGCCACAGCACCGCCCGCTCAGCAGCTTCCCGTTCACGTTCTGCATGGACAGGATCTGCAACTCGAAGTGCCCCGATGCGTCCGACACCTGTTATAAAGAAAAGCAATTAACAGTGACAAGCGACAAAACAAGGTAAAAAATCTCAGTTGCAAACTTGAATAAAACACCTGGTATAAGCTGTGACTAATAACTGGCCAGCAATGCTGAGAACTGTCCTTAGGAAAAGGCTTTCCGGTGGATCAATGGAAAACTATCAACATTTTCTTCGCACTTAAATTATTAAAAATTAGACACCACCGTACAAAAAAACAAACAATGGCACCAATCAGGTACAGTCTGCGTTATAAATTACTCATTTTCATCTGATGTTCTCCAGTATGAGACCAAAAAACACGTAAGGATCCTATTTTTTTTTTTTACACAAGAGATCATTCGTATTAAAAATATCCACATAGCTACCTGTGTCCATAGGCAAAGCAAAAATGCATGAACGGAAAAAGTAGCAAAAACCGAACTCCGTCTTAAAATCATGCCTCCTTTTTGGTTCTGCCGCTCGCTTTGTAACTAGAAGTCTGGCCGACTCACGGCTCTAATATACTCCTCCGATCTGAACATGCACGGGTGGAGAAAAATACTTCTTGAAAAGATCAGAGATTTCAAATGCAAAGTACCCAAAGTACCCTGCCTCCTTTTCTCGTGGTTGTATTATTATTTGCGGGTGCAATTATCACCACTGTTTTTTATTGTTCTTTCCTAATCAGCTGCGAAACAATAATAGAGACGCTCTAAGAAAGCACCTTCTGCGAGCGACTGGCTGTTCCATCTATACAGCAAGTTCAGGGAGCTGGGGGCGGTAACGCGCGCGTCGTGTTAATATTCATGAGCAGAGGCGGCGCTGCGTCAAAGCCCCGCCCCCAGAATCCCCTTGCCTTGCAGTGCGGACACTGGACGAGCTTGTCGAGAACGGAAGACCGTGAAATTGTGAATGCGCCTGAAACGTTCATTATGATTCATTATTGTGGACTCTATCCCGGGCGTCTTGCCCCGTGACCGTTAACATACGTGTGTGTTTTCCACTTATCCGCTTTAGGGTAAATTCTTTGGCAAAAGGGTTTAAATACTTTTGACAAGTTAAACATGTTTCTTCCATAAGACTATTTAATATACAACTGCACTAGGTTCTTCCCCAGTACATGCAATGCAGTTTAATAATCGCAAACAATATGTGACAGTAATACTATCAGGGACAAAAATATGTAAAGGTTTGATTAGGCTCTACAGTCCAAGTAATAAAACATTGACATAAACCAATTATTAGCATATTACATTTAAGCCATTGGTGTTTCACAGATATGATTTAATATTTGGATACGACGTGCCAAGTAATTAGATATATATGTGTACGAGTAAATGACACGGATGCACTGATTAGAGATACCAACACTGATTAAATGTAATTACTTGCACGTATACGTGATTTATAAATCTTTGGTTCTGACGGTATTTGCTGGTATATTCATATGTGAACTGCAATAATTAGCCTATAATACTTTAAAACGAAGTCTTCCCCGGACCCCGTGGTTGTCAAAGAGCACTAAAAATTATTCACACAAACCAAAAGGTATGTGCATTTCTGCACTCTTAAAAATTGATTAATTAGGCCTATTGCTTGTGTATAAATGTGACTCTTAAGTACTTGCTAGACATGGATTTTTTTTGTTTTGTTTTAGTTTTATTTAATGTGTAATTTTACTACAAGACTTCGGTGTCCGGCGAGACTTTTGTTGGCAAGGGGACTGTTTGTATTGCTTTAAGAAAAGAATAGGATTTACTCAGATTATCAGCTCGTCAAATATATAGGCATTTCTCAGCCGCCCTAAATAAACATCTCTATTTCGCCAAGGAAGTGCAGCAAGCACTACTTTTCTTAGTTTTGAGCCGCCAGGTGGTGAGGACAACTTCAGTTAAATAAATGCTACAAATTGAAACTGAAAAGTGGCAGAAGGGCTCGGAGCGAACGGTCCATTTATCTTAGTTGGTCTCTTTCAAGGGTCACTCGTTGTCCCTGATGTGAGTTTGAAAGGAAGTGGGGGGGAAAAAGGGAGCCGTATTCACCATGAAATAGAGACCCCCAGGAACAAAGCCGGCCGTCCTTATTATCAAATTAGGGCAGCTGCACTTCTCCACGGGCGCTTGAGAGTGTTGCTGTAATAATTGGTCGGAATTCGCTTTAAATGAAAGAAGGTCTCGGGGGAGAGGTGGAAGGGGAGGGGGTTTCGTTTTTCGGTTTCGCAGACAGAGAATACCCCAAATGATTAGGGGATGTGAAAATAAAGCTTCCCTTTATTTTCTACCTTATCAACAAGGGACCAAAAAGAAGGAAAATCTCGATCATCTTATATTTCTAGCACAAGTTCTTGAATACCATTTAATCCCCAGGTTTGAAATCGACATGCGGTGCCTGTCACACAGCGTTCAAAGCTCCAGGCTTTGCTTTGAAGACCTACAGTTGTCGATATAGTATACACTGAAAAGGGCAAAAGTTGAATTTGCAAATATGCAGTTCGTATATCCTAACTCATTATTTTATGTTTCTCCTATGAACACGTTTAAATCATGATATCTTTGGGTTTAAATTGCATAATAAAATCGTTTGTCCAAAGTAAAATTCTAATTAAAGATTCATGTTGTCAAACATGAAAACAATTTATTGTGTGCAACCAATGTACATACTTAACTTTCTTACACATTAAAATCTATGTACTGTGACTTTACATATTTAAAAAAAATTAAATAAGCGGCCCAGTGGTATTGAAGTACGGAAGCAGGTTTATGCCACTTTTTACAGTCTGTGCATAAATTAGTATTCTATAAATTTTCATTAGCATCATTTTTTTGAGGTTTATTACCGGTGAATATGCAATTAGTTGTATTTGTTTTTTTTCACAAATAAGTGTGCTGTGGTCAAACGTTTGACGGGATATTTCCGTGGCATTTACCCCATCCTCTGTACTGCCCCCTGGTGGTCACGTCCAATGGGACGCTCAGAACACCGTTGCTCCGTCGGACATGCCAGCGCACCAACATTTCTTGTCTGGGTACTGCATGTTAATTCTCTCTGCCGTTCTCATTGGCTGTGTCATTTACACTCATCTGCCCATTCAACTTGCGGTTCTACACTGCTACACTCTGCACTCAAATGGCTCATCTGAACTGATCCCAAATATTTATTCATTTTTAATTTGGTGAAAAATATAACCTTTGTGGTGAGTTCTTGGCAGGGGCTTATCAGATCAAAGTGTAATCTTAAAACCTTCCTTTGGTATCTGAACTCTGCATGCCAGTTGCTCATTGATTAAATGAGCCCGGCACTATGTCCGGCTCTGGTTGTGTGTGTGTGTGTGTGTGTGTGTTTTTTTTTTTGTATGTACAATGTCTGACCTGCCCTTCGAAAGGACCTCATCCATCCATCCATCCATCCATCCACTGTCCAATACAGGTCCAAGGTGGTGGTTGCCGCAGTCTTTTCAAAATGATTTTCTTGGTCCTGCTTTGTAAATATTTCTTTCAGTTACTCGGACACTTGCAGGGGCCTGTATCACGAAGTTAGATCTTTTTTTGCTTAGCTGGATAACTTGTCAGATTTAAGGTACCCCGGTTTAAATTGCCTTTTTTTAGTCACTTGCGTTTAGGCCAGACTGCCTTAAATCTGACAAGTTATCCGGCTAAGCAAGAAATCCTGCTTTGTGATACAGGCCCCTGCCTGGCTTAATTGGGATTGGTTGTATGTTTCCCTCCTGTTTTTTTGCTGATTGGCTGTCTCTTCCAGTAGATGCTGCTTCACAAAGAATCGCATAAATAAGCCTCTTTGTCACTGGTCACCCTGACTGTGAGCAGCAGTGAAAGTTTGTGTCTTATCTCCTGACTGGATCTGAGCGTCCCCCCCCCCCCATCTCTCCAAAAAAGATGGATATGACGTATAACTTGGCCCTTGGCAGGACATCAGTTACTGTTTGCTCTGTGATGACAAGGCCTTTGACTGCGGTCACCGGGAGCACAGTTAAATGTCTGCCATTGTTTCGCAGCAAAGACTTTGCCGCTCACCTAAATATTTTCCAGTCGCGGTATTTACAGCAGTTTCCAGTTATCTGTTGGTGCCGTTTGTTGGAAGGAGGGTGCTAAGTGGCTGGACTCGGTTTTTACACACTTCTGCTGGGTCCGTTAACTGTTTTAGCGGAAAGTAACACAAAAGTTCTACAGGTGCTGCCATTAAGGATAAACTTTGCATCCAGGCTGCAGAGTGAAGTGCACAGGATTCACACAGAGCTGTGACTGACCGGTGAATTTGAAACCTGTGGGTGATGAATTAACGTTTATTTGGGCATATTTTTTGCTGCGTTACATACATTCTTAAACGGAGCATTTTTATGTGAATAAAAGCTTTGTTTATGTTAGTGGTGATGTTTACTGTAGGGCTAACTGGAGAACAGGGATGAAGCTCTCTCTGGGTGAACTGGCGATGCGATTCAGGGCAAAGTCAAGGTTTTTTGACGGCACTCGCCAGCTCAGCGATTCCTACCCACAGGAGTCGTACTTGAAAGGCTTTCCGGACTCACTGTCTGCTCTCGTCCTGCTTTTGACCAGAGGCGTCTCGCGTTACACTCTGCGCTCGAATGTCTGTCCTCTGTGTAATTAGGGTTAATTGAGGAAAGATTTTTCAACCTCGGGGTAGGGGGGGGAAAGGGTGGTCAGGCAAGGCGTCCAGTAGACGTGAAATTACACAGCCTTTCAGAATTTGCCAGAAGTGGCCAGTCAAACTGACCAGGGTTGAGATTTTGTGTGTGTGGGTTTTTTTTTTTTCCAAAAAAACATTGTGAGGACCATTTTTCCAGTCCCCTTAAGGGGAAATTGAATTTTATAAAAATCTGTGACTGCAAACAAAAAATCTAAAAATGCCAAAAGTCTTGTCTTGTATTGTTTGGTTATTTATGCTGGGTAGGGGTTAGGGTTGTCGTTGTTGGTTTTAAGGTTCTTCCCCATAGAAATAAATGCATGGTCCCCAAGAAGGTATGAATACAAACCTCTGTGTGTGTGTGTGTGTGGGGGGGGGGGGGCTTCCTTTACTTCAGACCCCCAGTCCTTCGCTCTGTTCTTTCTGTCTGCCCCCAGCCAATCTCTGGTGAAGGCCATGCCCAAAAATCCGACTCTAACACATGATAAAGGATTTATTCACCAAAGTGTTTATTGTCCCACCCTGACCGGCCTCCAGATCCCTCTCCCATCAGGTGGGGGCCGTATCAGCGCCCAGCCATTTCTTTTTATTGCCCAGGAAGCAGGACGGCTGTTTCTATCAGAGAGTGTTTACATGGGAGCACAGCATCCATCCAATGCAAATGTTTGATTTGTCTGCCCCCCCCCCCCCACCTGAGGTATGGCTCATGGCCTCTGTCTTTCAGCTGTACTCTTAGGTATTAAAACCACCCCCTATCTGTTTATTTACCCGTCAGAGTTCATATGCAACTCAGTTTCTTATAGGTTTTAAACGATTGTTCCCAAAGCAGCAATTTACCATCAAGGGAGACCGATTGCTTTCTCTGTAGCGTGACCACTAAGCGTCACTTACCATGGAGAAGAGCGTTTGTTTTATTGCCATTATTATAGCTAACAAATAAAAGGCTGGGCTGGTCTTCATCGCTATGTATTAGTTGTCTGAGCAGTGGAGCAGTTAATTGTTTGGTTTATTAGCTGCTATGAAGGTGTGCAGATGGTTTGTAGGTTTTCTGTACAGCTGGGGGGGCTGATCCCTTTCCAGACGTGT